TTTCGGTGCGCCGTGCGCGTGGTCGGTCACGGCTCCTGCCAGCCCCTGGCCTTGCATTCTAGGGTTTAGGGTTTAGGGTTTAGGGTTTAGGGTTTAGGGTTTAGGGTTACGGTTTTTGTGTTTACGATCCCAACAGTACAATGGTAAGCTGTGTTCCTAGAATGGACTATACTGTCTACAAATATAGGGCCATCAACGTACAATGTTGCATATACGATAAGCTTACTAAATCTTTAATCTATACAATTTCAGTATTAGGTGGAAAGGAATACCGGTTGCAGCCTTGAAATCCAGGGGGGTTGTCGTGTGCAAGGGTGTCAGCTTAGTTTTTGCACCAAGGGCCTTTGAGAGATAGGGTCGTTGAGGTCGGGTTTCGGGGCATGGGTTTAGGGAAACCCGGAACCCTAAAACCCTAAACCCTATATGCCCTAAACGAGTGAAGGCCTGCGCGGGAACATGGAGACGAGCTCCTCCCGATCTTTGTTGAGCACGACCGCGCGAAGCCAAACTGCCGTCTTGCTATACTGGCTGGTTCTTCGTAGGGCATGGGGGAATTAGGGCCCTTAATACACCCCTAATTCCCGCATTCCCTACCAAGAACCAGGGGGTGTAGTGGGATGTTCACCCTTTTTCTAAAAGTCCTGAATCGGGATGATAATAGGGGTTACCACAACCCCTTTTTTAAGGACTGTTAGTATAGGGGGGGAACATCCCAAGCTCTAGGGCGTAACACGTCATTGCAGAAGCCAAAAGAACCAAGATTATCGTCAATAATCTTCACGTGAAGTAGATATGAGGCATTTCGCGGTCCTGGCAGCTGTTGAATTGAGGCTTAGGGTATAGGCGGTCTAGGGATGTAGCGCTGTTTGGGTAGCATGCATTATAACATGTATGAAGGGATCATAGTGGTACGCAGCGTGCAGAATACAGTGAGAAGCGTACTGGGAGGTTCATGGGTATAGCCCCAATTATCAGTCTACTTATAACCTACTTCGAGGACTTAGGACACTTCGGGGCGTAGAAGTGCAGTTCTATTTGGGTTGATAAGTAGCCTGGACCTCCAATTCGAACGCATGGTGACTGAGGCGCGCTGCACGCTGAAAGACAGGCACCCCCTGTGCACTGAGCAGTTTCTCTCTTCACTTTGTGTGCTCACTGGCATGCTGAAACGCTGCCACAGATGATGGATGCGGAAGTCTTTATGCCCCAAACCCGAAACCCTAAACCCCAAACCCCAAACCCCAAACCCTAGCCCTAAACCCTAAACCCCAAAGTTGAACAGACAAATAAAGTTGAGGGTCCATGTCAACTTATGCCCTGGGCGAGGCGCTGCTGATGGCGATCTTCGCCGCTCGCAGAAGACTCGCTGCGCCGCAGGGAGCAGAAACAGAGAAGCGCGACCTGTAGGGTTTAGGGTTTAGGGGTTTAGGGGTTTAGGGGTTTAGGGGTTTAGGGGTTTAGGGGTTTAGGGGTTTAGGGGTTTAGGGGTTTAGGGGTTTAGGGTTCCGGGCCTCAACCCCCAAGGTTGAGGGGTTTTGGTTTTGGGGCTTGAAGATCCTCCCTACCAGCCTTCAGCTCTAAAGCCCCCCAATGTCGCACGGTCCCTTCGGCTCATTCCTCGCAAATTTCGATAGAGTCCACATTCTACAGTGTTCCGCATTGTTCTTTGTTGTTCGTCATATTTTGCTCTACGTATTATACTTTCTTCTCTATTTGGGCCCCTATTGCGCTGACTTCTTGCAGAATCTTAGAGTGCTTCACGGACCCGAATTTAGAACAACCACCCCAAGGGTTCAGGGTTTCAAGGCTTGTCGTAGGGTTCGGAGGGTCGAGATTTAGGGCTGTAGGGCATGGGCGTTTAGCCCTCATCGCAGTTTAGGGTTGGGGCTGCAAGGCTGATGCCATGTCTCTGCTGCGGAATTGCCCTGCGGGCTCAATCGGAGAAGTGAGGCTGTGCGCCGAGAGACTTCTTGGGAAATGTGGCTTTCTGAAATGCATTGTGCCAGCAGCCTGCCAGCAAGTACTCATGTGACAACTGCAGCACTTCAGCATTACCAGGCTGCAAGGTTTGAGCCACTACATGGGGGTTTACGAAAATTCGGGACCCCTAGTATAGACCCCAAATAGTGGGATTCCCTTGTGGCTTATAATAAGGACCCCAATAAGGTACCCCTATCACTTCGGAAACCCCCGCAAGACCTGTTGAGCCATGTTCCTGGAGCGGGCCAAAGATGGACTGCCCGGAAGTGGCAGCTTCAAGCCCGCGACAAGGAGGCTCGGAATCACCCTAAACCCTAAACCCTAAAGTTCGGATACCGCAGAAGCCCTACTTGCAGGTTCAGGGTACTTCTAACCCAATTCTAAGTGTAAGGGTTAGAGTTGGGGTATATGTACACTTATAGTTGGGTTCCCAAGTACCATGAACCTCCAAGTACCTGGAAGTCCTGAATGCCGTGAGGGATTGAAGCAAATTTGAACCCTAAACCCTAAACCGTAAACCCTGAACCCTTGAAGCGGCCTATGCACCATGCTGTGGATGCATCATGTTAGTGGTATGTGCGTGTGCGTGTGTGTTCGTGTCATGTTCTGGCTACGAATGTTTTGGAGAGCAAGATCGAAGGTGTGTGCAGAGCACGTCTGGCTACCCGGCTACCCCGAGGACCCCAATATCCCTGAACTAGGGAACGTTCCCTAAATCACACTGGGATCCCTGTTCTAGTACTTAAGGGACTTAAAGGATATTGGAGTCTCTGGTGCCTACCGACCTTTTGACATGCCTGCTGTGCAGGAAAGCTTGCTCAAGGCTGCGTACAAGAGATCAGGCTACTCGGTCGACAGCGCCAATGGCAGGCACCGTCGTCCTCGACGTAGTCTGCGCCCGATCCCCCCCCAAACCCCCCTCAAGTTGCCAGTAGAGATCCTTGTTAGTGGTGTCCTCAAGGGCTCTAGTACTCTAGTCTGAAAATGTCGATAGGACCCTGGGCCTAGAAATATGGGGATCAGAATGGGCAAGACACTACCCAGGGACGATATCCCTTGGTTAGGGAATCTTCCTTAGATTGCAATCGGGATCCCAATACAACTTCAGGAATATGCCCTAAACCCTAAACCCTAAACCCTAAACCCTAAACCCTAAACCCTAAACCCTAAACCCTAAACCCTTGGGGGGGGGGGGGGGTGAACTCTGGAAACATGAGGTAGGCTTCCTCTTGTTGTATAGAAATTTCCCGTTTGAGGGACACGTATCCTGGGTGCGTCCCTTGAGGGTTTAGGGTTTTAGGGTTTAGGGTTTAGGGTTTTATCCCATCCCCCTAATATTAAACGGGGGCCCCCCCCCCCCCCCCCCCCCCCTTGTAAAAACTCGAAAAGTGTTTTTATTTTTAGGGGGTATTTTTATCGAAATGTCATAGTTTTAACTCATTAGACTGGACTCTCAACCCTAGACCCTCAAGCCTAAACCCTCTGAGGATTTTATTGGTGTTGAGGGATTTCTTGGAGGCCTGAACCCCCCCCCCCCCCCCCTGAATTCGGAATAGGGTTTTAAAGGCGGGGTTGGTTTCGGCAGGATTTTCCGGAAAGTGTTTTTATTATTAGGGGTCCATTTAATTAAAGGGGGAAGCGATTAGGATGTTTAGAACAGCCCCGATCTGGGTGAGTTTCCTGGCGCAAGCCACTGGCGATGTCCACTGCAGAGGATACGCGTCTGCCTCGCAGCATCTTAAGCATCTTTGGCTTGGCACGTCGTTTGATTCCAGACTTCCTGAGTCTAAGGACGTCCCGAAGCCCTAAACCCTAAACCCTAAACCCTCAACCCTAACCCCTAAACCCCAGACCCTAGACCCTAAACCCTAAATCCTAAACCCCCAATTCCTTATACCCATAGACCGGCAGGGCTCCCGCTTGTTGGCAGGCCGTGCTGAGTGTTCTGAGAGACCTCGAGGGACCAGCGCTTGGGCCCAGAGCCACCGACTCGGAGTTAGAGGTTTTGGGGTCTTAGGGTTTAGGGATTTCCTTGATAGGGTTTAGGGTTTAGGGTTTAGGGTTTCGGGTTTAGGGTTTAGGGTTTAGGGTTTAGGGTTTCGGGTTTAGGGTTTAGGGTTCAGGGTTCAGGGTTCAGGGTTTAGGGTGTGTGAACCAGAGAGCCCAATACCGTCCAATGCCCCTATATGTCAAGGATCACCCCTTAACTTGCAGGCGGGATATTAGTCGGCTTTAAGATCAAGGGGTGCTGGGGGTAGCCTCGATGCTATACTTACCAGTTAGGACTAGGGCTCTGGGGAGGTAGAATGTTCGCTTTAGCTTATGAACCGTTACGATATCCCCCCTGGACCATGCGCCTGCTCGCGCACATGGGAGTAGATTTTTTCGGGCGAGTCTAGGCAATCAGCCCGAGATCTTTCTGCACGCTTCCTGGTACTTGGAGGTTCATGGGGAGTTGGAAGTAGGGTTACAATGATGGTGATGGCAACTCTACTTAAAAGCCTGTTCAGGGTACTGTACTTATATAAGCTTACTAAGCCTTATAATTATGGTGATGGCATCTCTACTTAAAAGCCTGTTCAGGGTACTTATATAAGCTTACTAAGCCTAAACCCTAAACCCTAAACCCTAAACCCTGTAGAAGCTTAGCACTTTGCCAAGGTCCTCAGCGCTGCCATCTCGGCCTTTCGCCTCGCTTCTCAGTGGCTGCGCGCCCTAACCCTCTTCCACGAAGCTTGGAGGTCCGGGGTTGGGGGGGGGGGGGGGGGGGGTTTAGGGTTTAGGGTTTAGGGTTTAGGGTTTGGCTACAGTGGTTCTTGGGCTGCTTGGCGGGGTGAGGCCGTGGCCCCAGGGTCCATGCACCCACGCAGTACGTATGGGTTATTTGCTTGCATTCATTGGGGGAGATTGGGCTTCAACAAGAACGATCTGGTAACCCTAAACCCTCAACCCTAAACCCATGGTGACTTTCAAGGACCAGACGGCTTATGCCGACCTTCATACACGCGCCAAACCTTGATTCCGTTCAACCTATGTGTGAACGAGACCCCTCACCTGGCGACCAGCAGCTCATGAAACCAGCAAACGCCGGTGCTCATACAGTACCTTTACGACCCAAGTATATATTAAACCCACAGCTTAAAGCCTACGCCCCAAAACCGACTCAAACGCAGAGGTAATTACACTCACCCTTCGCGTAGCAGGGGGCTTTGTGGAGCCTTGACTTCGCCCAAACCTCCAATTGTAGCTCTTTTGTTTTGAGGGGCGGGGGGGGGGGGGGGGGGGGGCTCATTTCTCGTCTCCTTCAAAATCCAGTAACCTAATTCTTAGGTCCCTGCTAGCAGAGGGAAAGCTGGGTAGGGCCTGATCTACAGAGCTTCTGCATGCGGACAGGAACCATGCCAGGATAGGTTCTCACGCCTGACATTGTGTAATCCCCATGCTTTATAAGGGATGATAGGGCAAGAGCTACTAAACATGGAGTTGTACCCTCACCCCTAAACCCTAAATCTCAATATTTAGTAGGCAGGTGTGACAGATTGCAGCACGGACAAAAGACCTTGTTAGAGAACAGGTTTAGGGTTTTGGGTTTAGAGTGTAGTGTTTAGGGAAAATTCCCTGCATGGAAGCTTTAGAGTGTAGGATTTAGGGCACATTCCCTACAACATAGGATTTTAAGACGGATTGAAGGAATATCCTTGGCCCTGCAAGGGGTTCCGACATTATAGCTTCAGGGCGCTTCATGCATGGACCACTATACCCAAGCCCCATACCGTAAATCCCCCAAACCCTAAACCCTAAACCCTACACAACGCTAGAAAACCCAAACTAACCCTAAACCCTAAACCCTAAACCCTAAACCCTAAACCCTAAACCCTAAACCCTAAACCCTAAACCCTAAACCCTAAACCCTAAACCCTAAACCCTAAACCCTAAACCCTAAACCCTAAACCCTAAACCCTAAACCCTAAACCCTAAACCCTAAACCCTAAACCCTAAACCCCAACCCCGTAAGAACCCTCTATAGGCCCCAAGCCGGATTGGAGTCTCTGGAAGGCGCCGCGAGTCCCTCGACGTCGCGGTGGTCACGGCCGCCCTGTCGGCGGCACAGCGCGGGGGAGCTTGGCAGGCAGCTGAAACGGGTTTAGGGTTTTGGGGTTTAGGGGTTTAGGGGTTTAGGGGTTTAGGGGTTTAGGGTTTAGGGTTGAGGGTTGAGGGTTTAGGGGTCGGTTTAGGGTTTAGGGCTTTAGGGGTTGAGGGTTTAGGGGTTTAGGGTTTAGGGTGATGCACCAAATACCCCAAGAAAGTAGGAATACGGTAACCGGTAGTGTCGTGGGCCCGAAACCCGAGGCTTGTCCAGGTTTGATGCTTTCGGGGGGGGGGGGGGGGGTATTATGGTTCAGGGTTTAGTGTTTTGGGTTTTGGCTTTAGCGTTTAGGGTTTAGGGTTTAGGGTTTATGGCTTGGTGGGCTGCTTCGGGGTACAAGGCTGCAGGACGATTAGCGACTGGCGTCCGGCCTAGGCCATACCTGCAACCCCAAGTACCTACAGCTTACTAGGAATTGCCCCCTTTCATTAAATAGGTATAAGGGTATAACCCATTAAACTGCAGATAATTGGGGTTACAGGTAGGCAGACGTGATGCTGAGATTGTTCCGTCGGAGGATGGCACATTTTTAGTGTGTCAAGACGCCCTACACCCTGAGCCTTTACCTCTTGCTGCTGCTGAACGCGTGCTTCGAGGTGGCTCTTTCCCTGCTCGAGTCCATGGATAACTGGAGCATAAGCGCTGCACCCAGTGCGGATGTTTTTGAAACTTGCTTGTCGATCGGGATGCAGTAGTATTCCTGTGGTTACGTGGCCATTGCTAGAGGGTGTAGAACCAAAGTACTCAACAAGGATCCCAAACCGGGTTCCCTGGAGTAACTTATATACCCAAACCTGGTTCCCTGGAGTAACTTATATACCCATACAGACGGGAGATGTACCACAATTACTGGTATATGTCCGCGGGTTGAGTGTATTTAGGTTGCTCTTGCTACAACCCAATAGCCCTGAACCCTAAACCCTAAACCCACCCTAAACCCTAAATCCTACATCCTAAACCCTAAACCCTTAACCCTAAACCCTGAACCCTACAAGGCCCGGATGTCATCGCCTGCAATGCAGCCTTAACGGCCTGCGCCGCATGCAGCTGGAGATTGGCGCCGCGGCGGCACGGACTTCTTGAAGTCAATCTGCCTAGAGCAACCTGTAGCTTTAATAGTAATATCAGTATTAGTCGTAGTATTGAAAAAGTTAAGATTCATATTAGTACTCCTATCATTACTATGAGAGATAAGACAAGGAAGAGACCCAGGTTTTGCCAGTCCAAGTTTTTGGAGCTATACCAGTTACTCAGTCTAGCTACACCCTTGTGAGTTTCATACAGCATGCAGGCACAGCCAAGTGCCTTTGTCTTGCACTTTATGCCATTATGCACAGCGCATGACATGGGGGTGCGGGGGGGGGGGGGGGGTTGTTTTAGGTGGCCACTGGCAAGACAATCCTCTGCCTTGCACTGCAAGTGTGTCATCTCTTGGTTTAGGTTGACGCGTAAGCGCGTTGAAAGCTGGGCTTTGCCCCGACAGTGTTGCAAGATAGATTCAGAGCGTTCAGCAGGCAGCAACATGGGCAGACGGGCGAGTGAGTTGGGGGAGTTCCATCCTGCGCCTGCCTGGAGTGCACTCTAAGACGATATCCAGTCCAAGCACAGCCGTACTGTGAGTGGCTACCGTGGTTTCTGTGAGTGTGGAAGGCCGGTTTTCGAAAAGTTCGCTGTGTGGGTCATGCGAACTTGGTGGGCGAAGCATGAAAAACTATGACTTGACCCGAGAAGATCTCTCAGGAACCCTCCCTCCTCCCCCCCCCCTCCCCCGTGCGCGTGCGACCCTCGCGCGTGTGATGTCTCCTAAACTGGATGAAGCCCCTCGTCCTCCCAGGATTCCGTAACCCGATTTGCATGCACTCACCCGCGCGTTCCCAAACCCGATATGGGGGTTTCCGAAATTACGGGGTCCTGATTATAAGGGAATCCTACTAATTCAGGGCCTCTTGTTGTCGTAAACCCGATTTGAATTTTCTTCCCTCCTAGCCACAGAGGCGCAGAACCCCTTTCAAAGCACAAAGTTCTTAACTACTATTTGTACCCCCTCAAAACTATAAAGGGTAGTATAGGGAGTGTTTTTTATTTTTGGGCAGGTTCTTAAACAAGTTGTACATAAGGGTTATAAAAGCCGGTGGTCTCTTTTCCTGTTGCCCTTATACCTTCATAATAGCCCCTAGATACCCTAATAAGAACCCCCTGCAAAACAGAAACCCTACTTAAAGAGACCACCAACCAATATAGGATAAAGGTCTTTGGCCAGTTAAGATTGTTTCCTACCCCCAAGAAGACCCACAGCTGATGAGGCCCGACAAGGGGCTTCCAAAAAGGGTGCCCAAGAGGCAAAGCCCTAAAACCCTGAAGCCTAAAACCCTCAAACCCGCAAGGCCCCGAAGGGCGCAGAAGAGACCCAAAGATCCGTTTTAATCGTATACAAACACCCCCCCCCATCATTCCATAATACATTTGTATTTGGGTGTATTCAATATTAGGGGAAAGGGGGGTTTACTCTTGGGGGGAAGGGTTCACGGTTGCCCCTTCCAAGCAATTTGAGAGACCCCTCCCCTGGAATTCCCCAATCTAGTTGAACATCTCTTCCAGGATTCCCAAACCCGATTTGCGTTTTTCCAAATCGAGGTTTACGATAATAAGGGACCCGAATATAGACCCCCGAAATAGTAGGATCCCCTTATAATAAGGACCCCAATACAGTACCCCTAATATCGTAAACCGCCACATCGATCTTTAAGCACCAACCTCCCCGCCCCCCCGCCTGCCTCCTTTGCCCTCTGAAATCTTTCTCTTTCGCACCATCAACCAGCCTTTGACTACCAACCTCTTTCCTTTTTTGAAAATCAACATACAAGCAATGTACCGTATTCCAGGCCTTCAAAGACCCAAAGGCCCAATAGTTCAGGTCGACCCCGCCCACGTGTCTGCTTCTCAGGTGTTGCAGCTACTGGGTTCTTTCCCGTCGAGAAGGTTGACACCAGACGTTCCCTGGCCTCTCACAGGTTTTGTGCCACCCTTGTTTCCTCTGAAACCTCTACCTAGCGTAACCCATATACGCTGAAACATATGTAAGTAGGCCTTTAAAGAAAGTAACATGTGCGTCACTTGTTTCAGGATTAGTTTCCTCTATAGGTGCGGTTTAACCCCAAGCCCCAAACCCTGGACCCGAAACCCTAAACTCTAAAGGTACACCTTGGGATGTTCCCCCTTACACTAACAGTCCTTAAAGAGGATTATAGTCCCCCTCTCGCAATCCCGAATAAGCACTTTACGAAAAGGGGGAACGTCCCAAGGTGCACCCCCTAAACCCTAAACCCTAAACCCTAAACCCTAAACCCTAAACCCTAAACCCTAAACCCTAAACCCTAAACCCTAAACCCATTTTAAGGGCTTCAAAGAGACGACGGAGGTGGTGTCTTTCTCCGTTGCCGCCAGCGCCTGCCGCAGCACGCAGTGGCAGGAGGCCCAGCCGGTCATGTCCGGTTTAGGGTTTAGAGTTTAGGGTCTAGGGTCTAGGGTCTAGGGTCCAGGGTCCAGGGTCCAGGGTCGAAGGTCATGTCCGGTTTGGGGGTTTCTGGGTCTTTGTTGGTTATCACTTTACATTTCTGTCATACTTGATTCCCAAGAAGGAAACGAAACGATAAATATTGCCCCAACAAGGAAGCAGGCTTGTGGGGGGGGGGGGGGCGACGCTTTAAAGCTAGATGGGCTCGTAAACCCCACGTTGCTTAACCCTAGCTCGAAGGCCTTCAAGGTTGCATGTGCCAGGGTTTGGGGTTAAGGGTTTCGAGTTTAGGGTTTCGGGTTTAGGGTTTAAGGCTTACTTGTAGGGCTTACATGCCATCCACGACCTTCAAATGACTCACAATGATGGGCTGGTCCTCTCGCGGTGTTGGCCACGACACCCTCAGGAAACACAGAGCCCTCAATTTGGTAGTTTGGGCAGGCCGCAGCATGAGGCCACCGGTAGGGTTTAGGGTTTAGGGTTTAGGGTTTAGGGTTCAGGGTTCAGGGTTTAGGGTTTACGCAGCCAGTGGTGGCTCGCTACACTTGCTGCAACTTGGATGGCCCTAAATCGCAAACCCTATACACCCTGAGCCCCACAAAGAGCCCTAAACCCAAACCCCATAAACCTCAAGCCCTAAGAGAAACCTGAAACCCGGCAAGCCCAAAGCCCCAAAAAGAGCCCAAAACCCTCTTCCACTGTAAGCTTACCACCCCACCCCCCCTAAACCCTAAACCCGAAACCCGAAACCCGAAACCCGAAACCCGAAGCCCGAAACCCGAAACCCGAAACCTACCACCCCACCCCCCTAGACCCTAAACCCGAAACCCTAAGCCCTAAACCCGCAAAACCCCCAAAACCCCAGAGGCTTTGAGCTGCTTGCAGGGCGCTGTGGATGGGGCTCTGGTGGGCGGCTCAGCCCCAATCGGCCTCAGGTCCTGCCTGGTCTAAGGTCTAAAGGTCCGATGTACCTGTGCAGGGTTTGGGGTTTAGGGTTTAGGGTTTAGGGTTTAGGGTTTAGGGTTCAGCATCTCAAGTTCGAGCATTTACTAGGCCAGCAGTGTGTTCAGGCAACGGAAAAAAACCCACCCGCCCAAAGAATCCCATAACATTAAGAAAATAAAAGGTTTTCTTCCTACTCCAAAGAGTTTTACCTACCCGAGTCAGACACGTTTTCAACAACATTAGGAAAAATATCCAACCTCCTTCTTCTCTAGGCACGTGGTCAACAGAATGGATTTGTTAACCACATGTTTTCTGTTTCGAGCGGACAAGAAAACCAAACGTGGTCAACAGAATGGATCTGTTTATCAGATTTGGAAGCCATCTTGAGTTTCTTGAATCGATTGAGGGGCCTCAAAAACAGGCGCGGTCATTCGGGAACTTATTCTTTGGAAGCCATCTTGAGTCTCTTGACTCTTTTGAGGGGCTTCAGGGGCCTCAAAAACAGGCGCGGTCATTCAGAAACTTATTCTTTGAAAGCCATCTTTGATCCACTTCATTGTCGAGGGGGTGGTGGGGTGGGGGGTGGAGGGGGGTGGGGGGGCGGGGGGGGGGGGGGGGGGGTTGGGGGGGGGGGGGGGGGGGGGGTGGGGGGGGGGGGGGGGCGGAGGGGGGGTGGGGGGGGGGCGGAGGGGGGGGTGGGGGTAAACCCTAAACCCTAAACCCTAAACCCTAAACCCTAAACCCTAAAACCCTAACCTACCTAAACCCTAAACCTAAACCCTAAACCCTAAACCCTAAACCCTAAACCCTAACCCCCCCCCCCCAAAAAAAAAAAAAAAAAAACAAATACCAAACCAAAGCCTAAATCAACCCCAACCCTCGGACTCAGGCTTCACCACGACGCGTCCCTTCCTTCTGCAGGGGGACTCGGTGCATTGTCGGGTGATGGGCCTTAGTTTCTGTTGCCTGTTTCAGCCCTGAACCCTAAACCCCAGGCGCGCCCCAGCATCCCTGAAACTGACAACCCACAAAGCCCCCCAAAGGCCTAAAGAACCCCGAAATCCCAATTCCTAAAGTCCTAAGAACCCTAAACCCTAACATCCTAAACCCCAAGCCCCAATGCTAAGCGGGCTTGTCACCTGTGTTCAGGGACGGTGACTTTGGGCTTAACCCAAGGGAAATGGTTTAGGGTTTAGGGTTTAGGGTTTAGGGTTTAGGGTTTAGGGCCCGCCAATG